TGAAGAGTGCAAGACCAAATTTCTCCACTAAGGGATACCTCAACTCGGCATTTTTCAGTACATGACTGACAAAGTAGACCGGGAGCTGACAGCCGTCTCTTTCAGCAAGGAGAACAGCGCTTAACGCATGATCAGAGACGGCCAGGTACATGTAGAGTACTTCTTTGGGCAAAGGGCTGACCAGCCTCGGCAAGGAATGCAAGTGAACTTTCAATTTCTGGAAGGCCGCCTCAGCATCCGGCCCCCATTCAAACCTTGCCTTTTTCTTAATTGCGTGGAAAAAGTATAGGCATTTGTCGCCTGATCGGCTTAGAAATCTTCCCAAGGCCGCCAAACAACCTGTTAACTTCTGAACCTCTCGGATGGTACGAGGCGACTGCATGTCGATGACCGCCTGCACCTTCTCAGGGTTCGCCTCTATTCCTCTCTGATTGATAAGGAATCCGAGAAATTTCCCAGACTCAACTCCAAAGACACATTTCTTGGGATTGAGCATGACATGGTGCCGCCTGAGTGTGGCGAAAGTTTCTCGGAGGTCCGACAGATGATCTTTCTGAAGTTTAGACTTGACAATCATATCATCAATATATGCCTCGACTTTCTCCCGGGGCATTCTTAATACCAAACGGCATGACCGTGTAATAGTATAACCCCTGATCAGTGACGAAGGCCGTCTTCTCCTGATCTTTCTTCCATAAAGGAATTTGATGGAAACCAGAGTAGGCGTCCATAAAGCTCATCAAAGCATGGCCGGCTGTTGAGTCGACCAGGTTATCAATTTTAGGCAGAGGGTAACTGTCTTTGGGGCACGCCTTGTTTAAGTCTGTGTAGTCTACACACATTCTCCAGGTGCCATTCGGCTTTTTAACAAGTACCACATTTGCAACCCAGTCTGGGAAGTAACATTGCCGAATGAACCCTGCATCAAGTAATTTTTTAACTTCGGCGGCTGCCGCCTGACTTCTTTCTTCGCCATGGTTCCGCTTCTTCTGCCGTACCGACTTCTTTTTCGGATCCACGTCCAGTTTATGTACCGCCAGATCAGGACTAATGCCTGGCATTTCATGGACTTCGAATGCAAAGATGTCCTAGTATTCTTTCAATAGTTTGTGAAAGTCGTCACCCAGGTCCCTTAGAGCAGTCGTCCCAACCTTGATTGTTCTGTCAGGACGCGAGTCATCTAACATCAGGTCCGTATGCTCACCAGCTGGTTGAGGGCGGAATTCATCCGACCGCTCCTCTGCCAATGATTGCTATTTTCTGTCTTTTCTTGCGGCCCCTGTTTGGGATGCCTTTCTCTTCTTGCCGCCTACTTCTTGAACAGGCGCACTCTCCTTGACATTGTCAAGGTCTATTTTTCCACCACTCGACCTAGTGGCCATAACAGTGGGCTTGACATCCGAGAGATAGCACTCTCGGGCCATCCTCTGATCTCCCCTTAGGGACCCGACTGTTCCATTATCCCTCTCAAACTTGAGCAACATAAGAGATGGGATTATAACAGCCTTGGAATTATTCAGGGTTAGTCGTCCCAGAATCATGTTGTAGGCCGAGAGTTCTTCTACTACCAGGAACAGGACTACCATGTGTCGTCCTTCCCCTTTTTCGCCCAGGCGGATGGGTAAATCCACTCGTCCCACTGGGTGGACGACTCCTCCTCCAAACCCTACTAAAGGGTGGGATGCCGGATGTATGCAATCAGTCTGATATTTTAGTTTCGACAGATATTTGCTACTGATGAGATCTGAGGAGCTTCCGGTATCTATGAAGATTCGGCCAACTCTCTGGTTGGCCACTTTACATTCAATAACGATAGGGTCGTCATGCGGCCCTCTTACCCCTCCTAGATCTTCTTCAGTGATGACAATCTCAGGAAATGAATATTTGGAGGGTCGTTCTTGGTGAACGGAATTTACATCTAACCGTTTGATATTGTCTTTGTTGCCCCTAATAGTGGGGCCGCCTCCTGAGAAGCCGCCTGCAATGGTGTAGACGACTGCATCATCTGTATCGGAGCTGTCGGCCTGTTGATTCTTTTTGGTCGACTGCTTTTTCGAGGAAGTGTTCCCCGTAGATTTCTTGACATAAGTGTCAAGATCACCTTGCTCAGCCAGGCGGTCCAGATACAACATGAGACTGATGCATTCATTGGTGTGATGACCAACATCTTCATGATAATCACAGAATTTTTCTTAGTTCCGATTGTTTGCAGAACCCTTCATGGGGACCGGCTTCTCAATTGAGATCCGTCCCTTGATTTCCTATAGGATAAATTGGCTATCCTTGTTAAACACATACTTTGGGGAGTATGGTTTGAATTCTTTTTTCTTCTTCTGGGACGGCTGTTTAGAAGAAATCAGTTGCTCAGACCTTTTTTCTCTTCTCGTCTTTGTTTGACGACTGCTTCTGTCGTCCTTCTCTTTTGTCGGACCTTTTCCCGTCTGACTGTTTTACCGTACTACAAAGATCAGCCGCCTGTTTATAGGCTTCCGCTTCAACCAAGGCCTCTTGAAGAGTCGCCACCCTCTTTCGGACCAAATCAAATTTGAAGGTCGACCCGTCTTTGAGACCTCTGAAAAAGTCAGTATAGGCTACTTCATTCGGTAACCCTTGAATCTGTATTCTCATCAGGTTAAACCGCCTGATGTAAGAACGAAGCCCCTCCTTCTCTCCCTGCTGAATTGTTTCTAAATCAAGGGTCGTCTTCTTTGCAGGGATGTTCATGGCGAAGTTGGAGGTGAATAAGTAAGCAAGCGTCTTGAAGTTATTTACACAACCAGTCGGCAGGTTGCCGAACCATTGTTGTGCGATTCCTTTGAGAGTCGCTGGGAAACACTTGCACCAAGTGGGATCATCCAACCCTTGAAGGTACATCAGGTTTGTGAATGCCATCAGATGGTCTTCTAGGTTAGTAGTGCCGTCATAGGCGCCTACTAATACATTTTCCACTTTGGCCGGCTGAGCGGCTTCAGTAATTTCCTTGGAGAAGGCCGACGGCTGTTCACCAAGTCTAAGCAACCGTAGCTGTCAGTCCATAGGTTGGACATTTTTTGCTGCATATCCACCAAACGGAGGTGGCTGTAAAAAATACTGTTGTTGCGGTACAAACAGTAAGTTTGGTACCGCCTGGTCGCTATGAAAGCCGGACTGACGGGAGGTGCCGCCTGACTGACCCTCATGATACGACTGAGTATGCCTCATCAAGGTATTTCGCAGACTGTCTTGGAAGTTTGAAGTAGAGGTCGACTCTGACAATCAGTCACTCTTCTTCTGCTCTAGCAGTAGCCGAGCGTCTGTGTATGTTTTCCTCGACCCGTCCGCCTAAATATGACGAACAGGTTTCCTATTTCCTGGAGTAGGAAAACGGTATTTTGTGAAATCAAGGGCAGGTGGCTCCCACTTCTTAGATTTAGGATGAGGGGTCGCCTCTCGCCCTTGAACTGGCTTCCTCTTCCGTGAAGTGGAGGGTTTCTTAGCCGACTGCTCCTTGTCCAGAGCAGGCGGCTTCTTGTTGATCAACTCTTGAATTTCTCCCTTGAAGTCCCTCATGAAGGTCATGAGTTCGTTCCTTGTGATGGGAGCAGACCCATCAGTCGGCTGCTGCCGAACAAGCGGTGCGCCTGCTGGCTCGCTTCCAGTTTGAAGATGTTCCCGTTCCCTCCTTTCGGTATGACAGGTACGTCGGGCCCTTAGGGTCCCGTCTGAAGCTGTGTGAGCTTCAACTTCAAATTCGTTCTCAGTATCGTGGTCCGACTGAACTAGAGGGTCGTCTAGGGGACGTCTCTCTTCAGGAGCCGGTACAAACGTGGATGCCATCTCAGAAGTACTCTCCCCACAGACGGCGCCAAGATGTTTCGGGGTTTTCTGATGTCCTGCGGGAGAGATACAATTCCGAGACTGGAACCGGACGCCTGTACCTGCAAAACAAACGGATGCTCCGGATGATTGGAGATCCGCCTCCGACGGTCAAGTTAGTACTTGATTAAGGAGTAATTAATGCGGAAACTAAAGTGATTGGGTCTCTCTAGGTGAGAGTGTTTAATGTGTGTAATCTGCGTAATCTCCCTTAATGAGGATTAAGGGAGGTATTTATAACCTCGAGAAACGTGCCAATCTTGGTTTAGGTTAACCTTGGGCTGATTGGGCTTCCCTGGGAAGTTGGGCCTAAGTGACCGGCTTCTCCATGAGGCATGGAGTATGCCACGTGTCATGACATAATAAGTCCAGGGTGGACGAATAAGCGTGTGCCACGTGGCAAGCCCTGAGATGTCCAACTGGGGGACACTTGGCAGGACCTGATTGGCCCACGTGACGCATTCCGATTGGTGGGAGCAAAATCCCCTAATCATGGCTAGCTTCTGTGTTCTAGGTTAATGTGGTAAGAATTGAGGAACAGTTAATTCACATGGAGGTTTGGCATAGAGCCTCTGGAAGTGTTTTTATTGTTTCTATGGTCTATGGACTAAATGATCCTAACAGAAGACTTGAGCTCTGGAAGCAGTTAACTGAGATTGCTAGTAATAATAAGTTACAGTGGATTATAGGGGGGGTTTCAACAACATTCTAAATCTTGAAGATCGAATTGGTTCTCCTTGTAAGTTTGATGAAGTCAAGGATTTCAGAGACTGCCTGGGGAAGAATGGTCTGTTCGATTTTAATGTTGGTGGCTTGTTCTACACGTGAAACAACAAACAACAAGGGCAAAAGCGTGTTTGTTCGAAGATTGATAGTGAGTGGTTGACTAGGTTTCCTAAAACTATTGCTATGTTTCTTCCTGAGGGAATGATGGACCACAGCCCTTGTTGCATCAATATTTTTGGTGTAAATGAAAAATCTGTGAAACCGTTCAAGTTCTTTAACTATTGGACGAGTGCTCCTGGTTTCTTGGATGTTGTGAGTATGGCCTGGGGTACAGATGTTAGAGGTACTGCCATGTTCAGAGTTCTTAAGAAATTGCAATCAGTAAAAAAGGCATGGAGGGGAGCTTGAGCTCTCTATCAATGATTGAGGCTGCTGATGTTGATGCTTCTGTCAACCTAATGAATGTCCAGAAAAAGTTGAACTTTGATCCGCACAATGAAGTTCTGGTTGATGAGGAGAAGCAGGCTAGAGTTGTCTTCCAGAAGGCTCATGCTGCCAGGTACTCTTATTTGAAGCAAAAGTCCAAAATGCACTGGGTTAAGGAAGGTGATTTGAATACAGATTATTTTCATGCCTTCATTCAAAAGAGAAGGGTTCAGAATAGGATATGCAGTGTTATTCATGAAGATCAGACTATTCAAGAACCTAGCATGGTGGTAAATGCTTTTCTGGAATTCTATCAAAATTTGCTCGGTACTAGCTCTGAGCCAGAGAAAACGGCTCACAATGCTGTGATTGGGGTGGGCAGAATCCTTTCTCAGGAACAGCAAATTGATTTGTGCAAAAGCTTTACAGAGCATGATGTGAAAGCTGCGCTTTGGATTATAGAAGATGATAAAGCTCCGGGTCCCGATGGTTTCTCGAGTAAGTTTTTTAAAGTTTCTTGGGATATTGTTAAGAGTGATATTTGTGAAGCGGTGTTGTCTTTTTTTAACCATGGGTGTTTGCTTAAACAAGTTAATAATACTCTGCTCACTATGGTTCCAAAAGTAGAAGATGTTATTTATGTGTCATAGTATAGGCCTATAGCTTATTGCAATGTTTTGTATAAGCTTATCTCTAAACTTGTTTGCTCTAGGCTAAAAACTGTATTGCCTGTGTAAATTAGTGAGAATCAAAGTGCCTTTGTTGCGGGAAGATCCATTTTGGATAATATTTTGGTGTGTCAGGATATGTTGAAAAATTATAATAATAAAAGGAAGGCTCCTCGTTGTACTGTTAAAGTTGATTTGAGGAAGGCGTATGACTCAGTTCATTGGTCCTTTATCAGAGATATGATGATGGCTTTGAATTTTCCTCCTCAATTTGTTAGGTGGGTGATGGAATGTGTTACTACCCCTTCTTATTCTGTGATGATCAATGTGAAAGGAATGGTGTCCTTCCAACAAGTGTATTATTCCGATAGAGGGTTCAGAATTATTACAGAGGTAATTCTTCAGTAAGGTCAAGTGATCGGAATTCCTAGGTCGAGGCCGCTTTCGATCAGTAATTTCAAGGTACAATTGATATTACAGCTTAATCTTAACTGAACCCTTCGGGTCGAACCCAATCGAATCTCCGATCCGAGACGTCGAATTAATTCGAAAGGATTTAATGAGTCGACAGAGTTTTACGAATACAGACGTCGGAAGTCGAGCCTAGGGCGTCGAGACCTAGCGTCGCAAAATCACAATCGACAAGTATGAGCGTAGCCATAACTAGGCTAGGCTAGCTCATCATAGTCACTAGGCGCGCCATGGCAGCCCTAGCATGATGCTAGGCACCATGGCTGGCTATCGCTAGCACCAGGTGCGCCAGCATAGCCCTAGCATGATGCCTAGGTGCCGTCGCAGCCCTAGCATGATGCTAGGCACCATCGCAAGCCAACAACCCATTGCAGGGCCTGTACGCATCACTAGGCGCGCCATGCGTGGCCTAGGATGGCTGGGCGCCATCGCAACCCAGGCAGCATCCCTAGGCGCACCATGCGTGTCCTAGGATGGCTTGATGCCATAGCAACCCTAGCATAGTGCTGGGCGCATGACAGGACCATACGCACCAAGAATAGCTAGTGCTAGGCACTGGCGCATGCGTGGTGCGTGGTGCCTGGGCTAGGCATGTGCGTGCATAGTGCGCAGTGCCAAGGCGCATGCGTGGTGCGTGGTGCCTGGGCTAGGCACTGTATGCGAGAGAGATGCGTGGTGCGCATGGTGTGGGAGTGCGGTGCGTGGCAAGAGGCCAGCATGCGTGGCTCGCTAGCAGCACGCATGCTGGACCATGCGAGTAGCGAGGATGCGAGGGATGCTGGCATCAGCGCCAGCACGCACCAGCGAGCATCAGCGATGTTGCTGGGCTTGTGCTAGCATGCTAGGCTAGCTGGCACAGCCAGCTGGCACGCTAGCTGGCAGCTGGGCAGCATGCTAGGGTGAGGCGGTTTATGAGGAGAGTGGGGACCAAGGCTTTGGGAAAGCCTTGGGGAGCAAGGCATTGGTCCCCCCCACCTCTCCATGGTCCTCACCTAACACTCTGTCCCTCCTTGACACTTATCGAATTGTGATTGCATTTGTTTATTGATTTATTTTAGAAATAAATTATTTGACAAATAAAACATTCTCCCACATGGGTTGGTGAATGAGAATCAAGGGATCATTTGCCTATAAATACCAAGCTTGGTATTGGGATTTGATACAGCCTTGAGTGGAATTAAAAAGGCAACTCTAGAAAAGAGTAAACCTTTGATTCATAAAACTCATAGTTATTTTGTCCGGGTCTTGACTAACCTTCAAGACTTAGGATGCTCGGGTCGGGTCGAGGGTACGATCCGTCGGAGATCTCGTCTTTTCGGGATTTTGAAGTAAGAGCTCTTTGGGATCGAAGCACGCGTCAAAGGTATAATTCTTGTCCTTAATGTTGTTTGATTAAGTTTATTATGCTTGTTTAATTGCTTTAATTAAGGGGCGGGTCTTGAGGGTTTCCTTCCGCGTAGTGTCGGGTCACTACGAAACCCTACACAATGGTGGGTTACATGGTTTTTCAAAGGGAAGAGAGGCATTAGACAAGGAGACCCCATTTCTCCCTTGATTTTCGTCTTGGTTATGGAATACTTATCTAGACTCCTTAGGAAGGTGGGGAGTTTGGAAGGCTACAAATTTCACCAAGGTTGTAAGCATCTGCGTTAAACTCATATTGATTTTGCTGATGATCTTATGTTTTTTTCTCATGGGGATAAGAAGTCTTTCTCTCTTCTTGTGAGGGCTCTTAAGACCTTTGAGAAGGTCTCAGGGTTAGTGGCTAATTCAGAAAAAACAGCAGTGTATTGTGGTAGCATGGATTCTGTGAAGAAGGAGGAGATCCTGGGTGGATATGGTTTTGCTATTGGTGACTTTCCTTTTAGATATCTCGGGATCTCTCTCAATACTAAGTATATGAGAAGCTCTGATTTTGATAGCATTGTTGATAAAATGTTGGCTAGGATTACTTGTTGGTCGAGTAGGAATTTGTCTTATGCTGCAAAGACTATCCTTATAAATTCTGCTCTTATGAGTCTTCATTCTTACAGGGCTCAATGTGTCCTCTTGCCTAATGGGGTTATGCATAGAATTACTCAGTTGTGTAGATCCTTTCTATGGGATGGAGTTGCTGTGCTAGGGGGAGCCCCTCTTATTTCTTGGGATTGGGTGTGTAAGCCTAAAAAGTATGGTGGGATAGGAATGAGGGATTGTATTAGATGGAACAAAGCTGCCTTGGGGAAGTATGTTTGGAAAATTGCAAAGAAAGAGGATACGTTGTGGGTAAAATGGGTGCATAGTATATATTTGAAAGATCGAGATTGGTGGTCGTATAGTCCTACGAAGTGTGATGGATGGTTTTGGAGGTGGTTGTGTGCTGTGAAAGATGAACTGCAACAAGGGTTTGAAAGTGGTAACTAGTTTATCAAAGACCCCTTGTGTCTTCTGTGTGGCAATGCTCCAGAGTCCCATGATCATTTATTTTTTGATTGTTTCTACTACAGAACTTGTTTGAAGATTATTGCAACCTTGCTTGGAATAAATAAGAGGAATTTTAGGTTGGATATGTCTTGGAAACACTGGAATAGACAGGGACTAGATATGATACAAAAGAAAATCTTTCTAGCTGTTTTTTCTGCCTGTGTTTATTATATTTGGTTTACTCGAAACCATGTTTTTTGGGATAAAGCTGTGATTATTCCTAGTAAGCTGAGTAATTCCATATGCTTGGAAGTGCTATGTAGATTACAACAATTGATTGACAAGTCTTGGTCCCGGAATCATTGCAAGTGGCTTCAAAATATGAGATGCAACCTGCCTTCCTAATTTTCTTCATGCTTTTGTGCTGCTGTCCTGATCTAATAGCTGATGTGTTTTCTCTGACTTGTTGAGTTGGTTTTCTTCTGGTTTGGCTGCTGTCTGCTGCTCTTTTTCCAAGGCTGCTGTGTCTGTCTGCGAGGCTGTTGGTGTCTGTCGGTGTGATTGGTTCTGTGCAGCTCTTGTCCTTGCAGTCTGTTTCGTTTTTCTTCAGATCTAAGGTTTTGATTCTGTGTCTGCTGGGTGTCCTCTCTGCTGTAGTCTATTGTTCTTCTTTAGTCAGTCTGGTCCTGAAGGCTGTTTTGCTGTTCCTTCGTGTGTTTGGATGCTGGCTTGATTAGTTGAGTTCAAGTGTTGCAGGCTGATGTTTGCTCGTGCTGGTGATAGTTGAAGTTTCTGTTTTGTGACTAGTTCAGGCTGTTTTAGTTCCTGTTTTTCAGCTAGTTTGTGTTGTTTGTTTCTGTTTTTTGTGTTGGCCTTTGTCCTAGTCCTTGCTTGTAGCTTCCTTCAATGAAGGTGCCTTCTCGCATGAGGCTAGGTAGGTGTTTTTCCCTCTTCCTGTGTTGGGCACCCTTCCTAGAAGGTGGTCGGGGACGGATTTGGGAAGTAGGTGGTGGTTGTGTGCCTTCGGGCTCGTGTAGTTTTTGGAGGTTTGCAACTTTTTTTCGTCTAAGTTGTATTATTTCATTCTTTAGTAATAAATTTTCTTATTTACCAAAAAAAAAAAGAATCAAATGAAAATCAAACACGTTCAAACAAAGCTTTTTGAATCAAATGAACGTCAAACACATTCAAACAAAGCTATTTAAATCAAATGAAAGTGAAATGCAATCTACAAAGCTAATTGAATCAAATGAAAGTCAAACACATTCAAACAAATATTTTTAAATCAAATGAAAGTCAAACACATTTAAACAAAGCTATTTGAATTAAATGAAAGTCAAATGCATTCAACAAAGCTATTTGAATCAAACGAAAGTCAAACACATTCAAATAAAGCTTTTGAATTAAATTAAGGCCAAATGCATTCAATAATGCTAATTGAATCAAATGAAAGTAATACACTTTAGAGTAAGTGAAAAACCCTAGAGAGAGAAAGCTTCGTTTTCTGGCTATGGTGGTTTGATTTTAGAGGTTTTTTTTCCCTAATCTGGCTATTATGGCTCTAAAGAAAAAGCAAGCTACTCCTTCTCCCTCAAAGATCACAGGTGAAATTACTGAATCCTTATTTGTTCCTCCATCATATGGGATTTCAATTGTCCATGAGGTTTTTGATGAAGGTGATGAGCTTGTAACTCCTGCTCCTAGACTTGTCCACCCCTCTGCAGGGACGATTAACAGAAGGGATGCTCAGCTATTAGCTCTAAGTTTTGGTTCTATTTTCCCTAAATCCAATGGAACAGTGAATTCCCCGGCTACTGTTCCATTGGTCACCAATCAAGCTGCAACTTCTTCTGGACTGCAAGATGATGTAGCAGCTTCACCATTTGTTAATGAGCCTGAGGAGATTAGAAGTGAAGATGCTGGAGGTCAGAAGTTTACGGGGAAATTGAATAATCCTTAATTTCATCCCCCTCAAATCAAGGATGGTAAGCCTATTGCTATTCTACCTACTGCTGAAATTAAAGAAGGTACGAAAAAGTGGAGCAATGCTATAATCTTATATGTGGTTGGCTATTATCCTACTATTGCCTCTATTAAAAGATTTATTGTTACTGAATGGGGAATTACTAGTGAACCTAAAGTTTTCTGGCATGATGAAGGGTATTTTATAATTAATTTATGTACAGATTTTGATATGAATTCAGTACTGTGTGGCGGGCCTCATATGTTCTTTGGGAAACCCGTCATAGTTTAAAAGTGGTCTGAAAAGTTCGATTTTAATGCTTAAATTTTGTGTACTGCTCCTCTCTGGATTAAATTACCTAATCTCCCTCTCAACTGTTGGGGTCTTGAAACCCTAAGTAGAATCGGGAGTACTCTTGGAGTTCCAATTTGTGCAGATGGATGCACATCAAGGCAGTTAAGAGTCTCTTTTGCCAGGATTTTAGTGGAAGTTGATATTACTAAGCCCCTCTGTAAGACTGTTTGGGTTGAGAGCCCTAAAGGGGAGGTAGTGGAACTAGCTGTGGTGTATGAATGGACCCCCCCTTTCTGTGTGAAATGTAATATGGCTGGTCACAATTGTGATGATGTTCAGGCTCAAAGTAAATCCATTCCTAAAGTTCCTTCCAAATCTCAGCCTCAGAAACAGGCTTGGGTTCAGAAGGGGAGACAAGGCCCTTTAACAAGCAAGGCCCCTGGAAACTGGGAAGCTGTGAAGAAAAAAAAGGGAAGGAAACTGCTAAACCTGCTTCTACTGTGCTAACTAAAAACAAGTTTGCTGTACTATCTGTTGATGGAGCTATTGATTCTAATACTCAGTTCACTGAACCTAGCGGGGGTGGGCCCCCTCCACAACAATGATTGTCATAGCCTGGAATGTTAGGGTCTAAATGACCCGGGTAAGGTGGTTGATGTTAAACAACTCCTTCACAGAACTTCTGCTCACTTAATTTGTTTATTTGAGACTAGGGTAAAGGAAGGAAATAGTAAAGGGATTCGGAATAAGATTTCCTGTGGCTTTACTTGGATATGTAACTATAATGCTTCTAGAAATGGTAGAATATGGTTGGGATGGAGAAGTGACAAGATTCATGTTGAGGTGCTTTCTGTTTTCTCTCAGTTTATCCACTGCTTAATTAGCAATTATGATTAAAGTAGGCAGAATATTGTTACTTTTGTTTAAGGTTTACATACCATTCATAATAGGAAAGCTCTCTAGGAAGGGATAAGGAGTCTTGGGCTTGTTTCCCTGCCCTGGTTATGCACAGGGGACTTTAACTCTATGCTTTAAGATGGTGATAGGGTAAATGGAACTGAGATTACTGACTATGAAATCAGAGATTTGAGGAACTTTGTTGAGGACATGAGTTTCACTGAGATCAAGAGTAAGGGTCCTTCCTATTCCTGGTCTAACAAAGCTCATAATGGCCCTAAAACTCAAACTAGAATTGATAGGGGTTTTGTTAATTTTGAATGGCTAGTGCAATTCCCTAATGTTGAAGCTATGTACCTCCCTCCTTCTCTTTCTGATCACTCTCCCTTATTATATGAGATTTTACCTCCTATCACTGGGAAGGGAAGACCTTTCAGGTTCTTTAACCATCTTGTCAATCACTCTGATTTTTTTACCATTGTTGAAGGTGCTTGGAGTTTTGGAGTTAAGGGTAACCCTATGAGTAGAGTCTGGTTGAAACTGAAGAATTTGAAGAATCAGCTTAAGACCCTTAATCTCAACTCCTTTGGTAACATTGAAGAAAGAGTGGAATTGGCTTAACAAGGCCTTATTGAAATTCAAGAACAAATGGTTGTTGTTCCTTTTTAACCTGATCTGGTCGCTAAGGAAGACAATGCAATTCAGCACCTTAAATATTGGAGGTCTGTTTAGGAGAGTGTGTATAGGCAGAAATCCAGAGTTGATTGTGTTTCGGGGTTTTCTGATGTCCTGCGGGAGAGTTACAATTCTGAGACTGGAACCGGACGCCTGTACTTGTAAAACTAACGGATGCTCCGGACGATTGGAGATCCGCCTCCGACGGTAAAGTTAGTACTTGATTAAGGAGTAATTAATGCGGAAATAAAAGTAATTGGGTCTCTCTAGGTGAGAGTGTTAAATGTGCGTAATCCCCCTTAATAAGGATTAATGGGCATATTTATATGCCTTGGGATGCGTGCCAGTACTAGGTTTGGGTTAAACCTAAGGCTGACTAGGCCTCCCACAATGATTGGGCCTTGTTGGCCGGTTTTCCCATTTGGCATGGGTGGACACGTGTCACATTGCAATTGGTCCAAGGAGGACGAATCTCTTGATGACACGTGGCAGGCTCCTATTGGCCTATATGAAGGACACGTGGCGAAACCTGGCTGGCCCACGTGTCGGATGCTGATTGGTGGATAAAAATCCCCTAATCATTTGCCCCTCACAGGTGGCACGTGACTGGTCACGTGTTACCTGTGACAGGTGTCGCACCGTGACAAGCGACGGCCTGCTACAGGTGTCACTCGGTGAAAGGCCAAGAGATTCTCCCGCCCAAATTTTGAATCTTGGAAGTGGCCCTTCGCATTCTCACTTTACCCAACTTTTTAGAGAGAACATTCGGACCCCTGAACTTGCTCTGACATTCCGGACTCTTTCTACTTACCGCCTGCTCTGTCAAGCCGGCTACTCAGGATTTTCAAAACTCCGTCAACTTCACTCGTTCAGGTAACCGTCGGTTCTCTTACTCTTAATTTTCTCTTTATTTTATTCTTTTTTGAAATGGCACCACGGAAGCACACGACACGACCTAGGTTAGTGATCAGCCGGTCACCGGGGACGGCTGAATCTAGGACTAGGAGTGTCGCCTGCCCTTTTCCGGACCCATCTTTGCCCTTTATACAAAGTCCGACTGTCTCTTTGTCTATGTAGAACATGATGGCCAGAACAAAAAGAACTGCTAGGATCTCGAACTCAGACGGCTCCTTCCACAGGGTGCCGGTTAGTGAAACATCTGACCAGGCGCCAGATTTGGAAATGAACCAAGGCGGCTTGACAGCCGACATTTTTGAGGGAGGGGTCAAGGTGACCCCTTCCCAATTTACAGTTGACATGTCTACATTCTCTCATACTCTTTTTGAAGGAGAGAAGGCGGGCCCCTCCGGGAGAGGGGAGGAGTCGTCCTCTTCGGACTCGTCAGAGGACGAATCCGAGTCTAGTTCTTCTGGTCATGCTTCTCTGGACACGGAAGAGAAAAACAACCGCCTACAAGAGAAGGGGGACAATTGGGCGGAGCCATCCGCCTCTTACCGAGAGCAAAATACCCCTTACTACCGTATTGTCCCACGGGGCCGGATCACGGCCATGCAAGAGAAAGTGGGGAGCTTTATTGTGAACCACACAATGGGCCCCGGCTTTTTAGTTTTCGTGCCGGATCCAGAAGACACAGTCGTCTGGCCGGCTGGTACTAGTTATGATTGCGCCTGCTTTGGCTGCTACGAGGCGGCCATCAGGGCTAGGCTGCGCTTCCCACTACATCCGGCTGTTCAGCGGATCTTGGATGGGTATGAGTTGGGGTTATGGCAGTTAGCCCCAAACTCCTGGGTCAACGTTCTCGGCTCTGTGGCCGGGTGCGAACTGCACGGGGTGGAGCCAAACTTCGAGGCTTTCGCCCACATGAACTACCTCAGCCGGACCCCTAAGGCAGGCGGTACCGGCTGGTATCAATTGACGAGCCACAGAGGCTACCTCATGACAAGAGGT